TCCGTTTTCATATGCAACCTAAGAAACTCACAAAACATAAAATATTTTAACACCAAACATTTAATTTTCAAGGGGTGGGGTATTTTACAGCATCAAACACTTTGGCATATGTCCAAGAAATATTTTTAAACCATCTATATTGAAGACAGTATTCAATTCCTGGAAGATGCAGTACTCCAGTTGAATAATTTATACTAATTCAAAGAAATTCCATGAGTAATGCTAAGCACATGAGTGTAATTTGCAGGTTGTCTGTAATACAGTTAAAAAAAATGAGGATGGCCAAATTTACATAAAATTTGCATTAAAACCTGAGAACATGAATGAGAGAATAAAGTATCCATTAATCACCATTGTTTAAATGCAGAAAGATTATGTGGCTTTCCATAGTTACTTTTGTAATTAATGACACATAATGGTTTATGTATGCATATTTCTATCATATATATACATATTTATGACAGATTTCTATCATATATATGATAGATACAACTAGATATAATTGACATAAAATATGTATGACATAAGAGATATATATCATATAAAAGATACCCACACAATTTGGGCACGATCTGTGAAAATTTTTCCCCCTTGGATTGATTGATTGATTGATTTTTAAAATTTTATTTATTTATTCATGAGAGACACAGAGAGAGAGGCAGAGACATAGGCAGAGGGAGAAGCAGGCTCCCCACAGGGAGCCCAAGGTGAGACTCAATCCCAGAACTCTGGGATCACTCTCTGAGCCCAAGTCAGACGCTCAACCACTGAGCCACCCAGGTGTCCTCCCAGGCTTGGATTTAAACTAAGCAAGCTTTCTATCTTCTCAAATAACTACACAAATACAATGATTAAATCTCTCTTTAACCACTTATGTATCAACTTTCTAAAGATCAGGGTTATTGTTCCAATACATGGATAATTAGGTTTTATTAAAACCTTACTGGGATACATTTTCTTTGGGAATGTCTAATAGAGGAGTCGCAAGAGTCCTAGGAATAAATTGAAATCTCAGTATCTTTAATATACTAAGTGATTACACATTAAATAATTAACCTCTCTAACCCTTAGTATCCTTAGCTCTAAAATGGTGGCTAAAACACATGACTCAAATTATGATTGGAAGGTTTCAATGAGACTATGTCAAAAAAGCACCTAGCCTAGTATCTGATATACAATGAGTGCTTAAAAATATGAATTCCCTTCAACCGTACATAATTGTGCATATGTTATTCTGACCTCCTAAAAGGTCCAAACTCCAGGTGCAGAAAGTAAAATTTATGAATTGGAACAGATTGCTGCAATTGCACACAGAGATACAAAATTCAGTGAATTGTAAGAATTAAACACATTATCTTATATAAGTGAAAAAATGCTGCAATATGACTTTCTGTAAATATTTTCAACATCAACATAGCAATGTTAGCTCTTCTGTATTGAACTGAATTTTTATTGCTGGCATTTAGTTCCAGGGTAACTATTATTTTTTTTTAGTTTGAGAGTTATCATAATTGAATAGGGCATATTTTAATTTATTTACATTGTAATAGTTTACATATTATCATTTATATTTCTGTACTATTCTGATTTGACTTTCTCATTTATTTTATATTTTTTGAATTATATTCTAAAAACAATTTTCTAGAGTGTATCCTATAATGCAGAATTTGTTTCAGGTAATACTATTAATCTTCCTCTATATTCTTATTGTTCTTTTCGTTAAAATAATAATTGGATAGAAGCAAACAAATATAGAAATTAAATTTTAGGTTTGGTCTTTATAAATGTAGGTGAGATCTTAAATAAATTAGTCAATTGAAAATATTTCTTGGAAAACTATGAAACACAGATAAATGTGTTAGGTAAACCATAGTAAACAACACAAAATGGCATTGTTACCTCATTTATAGGCTTGCAAAACTGCTGAGTAAAAAATACATTAAAAAATAACTTAGAGCTTATGACACTATAAGGTAAAGTGCTGAACTCTGTGATCGTGAAAATAGAGTTTGGAAAGGGAAGATCAAACTACAATATTTTTTGAAAAGAAGGCTCCCAGGAGAAAATGGGAGTTGAACTACACATTGAGGGATGAATGAATGAATAGAAAGCAGGTGTGTGGGCAGATAGGGAGGATCACTGTCTTGACAGGAGCCGGTGACAATGGGGGATGAGAGAGGAAAGAATTGAGCAATGCAACCCGCTCTGAGTTTCCTGGTTTGCACTCAAGGAAGACTGCTTTTGACTATGTGTGGAGGGACTCCCTTATATTTTACACAACAGATAGGGAGGGGGGGAATGCTAATAGGAAACATGGTGGAATATACACAACTGAGAGTGTTGTTTTAGAATGAATCATCTGTCTGTCTTATGAGACATGGATTAGAAATGAGATGAACTACAAGACAGAAGAAAACCCAGAAGATAGGGCAGCCCAGGTGGCTCATGAGGTTTGGCGTAGTGCCGTCTTCAGCCCAGGGCGTGATCCTGGAGACCCAGGATCTAGTCCCATGTCAGGCTCCCTGCATGGAGCCTGCTTCTTTCTCTGCCTGTGTCTCTGCCTCTCTGCTCTCTCTCTCTCTCTCTCTCTCTCTCTCTCTCTCTCTCTCTCCCTCTCTCTCTCTCTGTCTCTCATAAATAAATAAATAAATAAATATGCATTGCGATGATAAGAATTGGAATACTGCACTACCAGTATAAATAAGGAAGGAAGGTGGAATTAAGATAAAGGATAATTACAGGAGGAAGGTCCAATTACACTAATATAAATAAGAAAAGGTTTATGGGTGGAAAAAATCTAGGATTTTTAATGCTGGACATGGAGACATCAAATTTCTGCTGTCTGTGAGACCCTGCAAGTCTCTGCACCTTCCCAACAAATGCTTAAGCAAAGTTTCCCATTTGTACCAAGTACTGGAGGGATGGGAGGCTAACCCTCATTCTCATCCTGAGAATAACTAGTGGCTGAGCATGTGATCAGGACTTGTAAAAATTGCTAAGGAAAAATACAAACTTCAAATTTCTGCTGCTCCTATTTATGGCTAAATATGGAACCCTGAGTTTCTTTGTTGGAAGCAGTTTCAACATAATCCTATCTGCAGGTAATGCAATATCCCACTCACGTCTAGAAACATATGTACAATAAAGAGAAACTGGTCTTTGTAGGCTGGGTAAAATGCTGGCAGACTATTATAACATTAACATATCTACTAACTGGCTGGACTCAAATATAAGGAACACCAAAGCGGATCCTGATGGGAGGGATGTGCGCCTGCACAATACAATGGAGTGCTAGTCCTGAGGAAGAATTGAAAAGGCTATCCTCTTTGGGAATGCATATCCAGTGGTTTCAGCAGTAGGACTGGATACAAGTTTAAGTTTCCCCTTTCTGTGCTGTGATTTTGTTAGCTTAACCTCAATTCTTCTATAGTCGTTTTTTTTTTTTTAAGATTTATTTATTTATGAGAGAGAGAGAGAGAGAGAGAGGCAGAGATACAGGAGGAGAAGCAGGCTCCATGCCGGGAGCCTGACCTGGGATTCGATCCCGGGACTCCAGGATCGCACCCTGGGCCAAAAGCAAGCGCTAAACCACTGAGCCACCCAGGGATCCCCTATAGTCGTTTTTAAATATGACAGTTTACTATCAACTTTGCTACTGTCTGGCGGAAGGTGTAGACTGGGATAGCTTGAAGCTGCACAGAAAAGTCATGAGAAGATGGCCAGAAGGTACTCACTGAGAAACCAGGAAAAGCATTTGGGAGCATGAGCCAATGCACAATAAAAAGGCATGCTGAACTCTCACCACCCTCCCATTCCAACCAAGCAATAACCAGTTATTAGTATATAATGGTGTGTAAGAAGGCTGTAATCCACACTCTGCCAAGATGGAATTTCCTATTACTCTCAGCTGGGTATACAGAAAAGGCAATCCTAAAAACTTTAAAAAATGTAATGGGGGTGCTCCCAGGCTAATAAACAAGAATAAAAATCCAAGATAGAATATTTTTTAGAAAATTAGGGACGCCTGGGTGGTTCAGTGGTTGAGCTGAGCTTCTGCCTTCAGCTCAGGGCGTGATCCCCACATCTCGCTCCCTGTGGGGAGACTGCTTCTCCCTCTGCCTCTGTCTCTGCCTCTTTCTGTGTCTCTCATGAATAAATAAAGGAACCTTAAAAAAAAGACTCACCTAGAAAATTAAATAAGAGAATATGAGATAAAATGTTTTATAATCTTACAGAGATTCAGAACATAGTAGGATCTCACCATATGAATTTGAATGTTATCAAACTTTCAATAATATTTGGAGGAAAATAAAAGGACTGGGTAGATTCTAAGATGAATAAAAAGCTGTTGTTTGTAAAAATATAATTTAATAGAAAAACTTCTACCTTAACATCTTTTTAATTAAACAATATATCTTTCCCATCTCTATAATGTATGTATCAGGCAAATGCCATAAGAAATTTTAGTTTCCATGGGAAAAGGAACAGTGTCTTCAGTGTGTTTCTAGTTTTATATTATGTAAGCTATAATACCAACATTTTAGCAATGAAAAAAATTTTAAATACAGTCATCATACTTAGCCCCCATGGTTTTTATGCAAAATGCAACTGTCACATTCGATATTAAAAGAAAAATTTTCCAATTAATACTTTCTACATTTTACCCAAAATAATCGTCTTTTCTAGGGCAGAATCTTTCCATGATAAGTTTTGATCCTTGAGGAACAAATGCTCCTGCTTTTTGGAATAATTTCCTGACCCATGAAATTGAATCTGAAAGTAGTATCTGGACTTATCAGATCATTTTACATGTGCTAAGATGTAACTGATCTTCTTCTATTGGCCTTCTGAGATTCAACCTCAGGTGATGGAAATGAGGATGGAATTAGGAAAATGGATTAAGCTTGAGAGAGGAGAAAAAAAAAAAAGAAACACCCTGCAAAGATTTGTGGCAAGGAAACAAAAATATTGATAATACTACATAACAAAAAATGTCTTACCAGATACTTGAAGTCACCAGATGATCCAGGAATCCAAGCCTAATAAAAATAAGAAAAAAGAAAGTGGGAGGGGGATGCTTTAGTTTTCTATTTAAAAAATTACATGCAATAGAATTTTATAATTCTATAAAATCATCACAAATATTATAAACTGATGAGAATATTTTACGAAATCATTTGCATAGGTGAAAAAATGTTTTTCATTTAAATTAATGTGTTTATTTGATTTCCTATTATACCATTAAAACAAAGAAAAGGAATGTAGTCTTGATTCTAAAACTCTATTTCCAATTATTCAGGTGACCATAATAGTTATTCAGTTTTATTCTTTAAGTTCTCAATGGAAGAGGGAATATCATTATTAAATGTACTTGGAATTCTCTATTTATTATTTGCATTTAATTTTCCTGTGGGTGAGGCAAAACCAAAGCTTCATTTTTAAAAGCTTTTCCAATTTCTCTGCCTTTGCTAGCTATCAGATAGCAATTAGTTTGGGCTTTGATTCATTTTAGAAAAGTAAATCCATGGAAGATATTATAATGATAAAAAATAAAAGGTTTTAATTTCCAAATTATATTGAAATGCAGCTTCTATTTTTTAAAGGTTTTTGAAGTTTAAATGAAAGACAATGTCTGAACAGCAGAAATCCCCAAGAGAAGACCTAGCACCTGCCACGGGATGCAAAGGTTTTATAAATGTTGTCTTGTGGAAAGGCAATGGCAAACATTGTGAGGCCTTCTGTAAATATGACTGCCTTTCTCTGTGTTTGAGCAGAAATATTGAACTTCTAACCACTATTATTATAAAATAAAGGTTTTTTTTTTAAACATTTGAAGATTGCCTTTTATTTTTGCCTTGGGAATCAAGTTGGAAATAACATATTGTACAAGTGTTGAAACATATCTTTCTTTGAAGGGGAGTAGAAAATACAATAAATGTGAAAAAGAATTGACACTCTATCTAGGGTTTTGTGTGCATATGAGTATGTGTTTTCCTGTATTCTCAGAGCGTTTAAATTAAATTCTCTGGTCAGAATTATATTTATAATGCTGGATCACTAACTGGTAACAAATCATCTGGAATAAATCTACTAAAAATTACTTCTCTAGGACATTGAATCAGTTGAGGAGACCAGAACTTCACTGGAGAAGAGCAAATGGGTTTTGTTGTATTATGAGAGTGTTCTTTGAATTCCCATCCTGCCTTCACGAGTGTAGAATGGATACTGTCTCCTGGAAGCCTCTGTTCTAAGATCTTAGTTCTAAGCCTAGGAGTCAATTTTTATTCCTTTCCATATTTTAAATTATGTATTTCTTGTCAGTTGAAAACCACAAGAAAATTGCAAAAGTATAAAGCTTAATAAATTATCACAAAATAAACATTCATGTAATCAACACACAGATCAAGAACTAGAGCATGACTGACACTAGAAACCTGAAGCTTTTTGTCACAATGTGTATATGTATAGACACATATATACACACATACACACAGCATACACACATAAATATATACACATACATATATACACACAGTCTACACAAATATATGAGCATAGTGTGCACAGTATACACTCACACACACAGTTTGAACACACTTGATTATTTCTTGTAGGTTATGCTGAAGCACAGGTTCAAATGAGAATACAAACCACCTGAGGCAACACAGATGTATATGTGGGGATTTGTGGAAGTGCAGCATGGATATCACATACTGATCATAAATAGCAGGATATATGGATTCTGCATTGCCAGAGAGGGGGCAACCCTTTGAACAGATCCTGTAATGTCATTGAATGCATTGTGTATTGTAATCTCAATAAACTATTTATGATATGTATCTGCCTATGTATCCAGAGGTTTTGGTCATCCTATAGTTTTACTTTTCCTTAGTTTTAAACTTTCTACAATTGGAATCAAACACTATATTTTCTTCTATGTCTAGTTTCTTTTCTTTAGCACCACATTTGTGAAATTCACCTGTCTTGTGGCTTGCAGCTATAATTTATTTGCATTAATCTGTAATGTTCCATTGGACAAATATTATGCAATCTATGTATTCAATTCTTTTTTGGAAGATACAAAGTTTCTACTTTTTTGTTATTATGAGCAATTCTATGAGCATCTTTTAAAAATACGTATATGTACTTCTTTTTCTAAAGATTTTATTCATTTATTCATGAGAGACACAGAGAGAGAGGCAGAGACACAGGCAGAGGGAGAAGCAGGCTCCCCATCAGAAGCCTGATGTAATAAGACTCAATCCCCAGACCCAGGATCATGCTCTGAGCTGAAGGCAGATGCTCAACCACTGAACCACTCAGGCATCCCAACATGTTCATGTACTTATGCTGGATATTTCCTAGGAGTAAATTACTATGTCAGAAAATGTGCATATGTTCTACTTTAGAAGATCTTGCCAAATAATTATGAGATGAGTTGCTATTGTTTCACAAATTCACCCAAAAATATTTATTCTGTTTGATTTTAGTCATTACTTTACTGTGTAGTAGAATATAATTTTACATTTCTTGATTACTAATGAGTTTTAATGCATTTCTATGCATTAGTCATGTATATATGTGTTGGTTCATATATAGAGAAGATATTTTCAATTTTCTTTCCATTCTCTTTGGGTCTTCTCCATATTGACTTGTAGAAGTGTTTTACGTCTTCTAGTTATGAGCCCTTTCCTGGTTATACGTGGTGAAAATACATTTCCCACTCATGGCTTACCCTTCTCTTCAGTTATTGTGACTTTTATTGAACATTAATTCTTAATTTTACTGCAGTAAAATTTAACAATCTCAATATTTTTATTTATTTTTGTGTCCTGCTAATTACACAAAATGATCATATATAATCTTTTCTATTTTCTCCTGAAAGTTTTCTTATGTTACTATTCTTTGGCATCTTGTGTATAATCAAAAAACCTATCTGAAATAAATGTTTGTTCAATGTGAGTTGGGAAATAGCTTCGTTATTTTACAAATTGATTCAACTAGGATGCCTGGGTGGCTCAACGGTTAAGCGTCTACCTTCGGTTCAGGGCATGATCCTGGAGTCCCAGGATCGAGATCCACATCGAGCTCCCTGCATGGGGCCTGCTTCTTCCTCCACCTATGTCTCTGCCTCTCTCTGTGTGTGCCTGTCATGAATAAATAAATAAAGTCTTTTAGAAAAACCAAATTGATTCAATAAAATTTATTGAAAATAACTTTTCTTACTGCTCTCCAATGCTAGTTTTGTCATGAGTTAAGTGCCCACAGATGCTTGACTTTGTTCTAGATGTCAATGTATTGCACTAAACTATTTGTCTGTATCATACTATCTCACACAATGTAACCTTATAATATACTGTGATATCTGTTAGAGCAGGTCTCTCCACCATTCCTTATGAGTTTGTTAACCTTTTTAAAAGATAATTCGCATAAGATTCACAATTTTAAATTGCAGAATTTAGTGGTTTGTGGGATATTCACAGTATTATGCAAGCATCACCACTAATTCCATAACATTTCCAATACCTTAAAAGGAAACCCTTTCAACAACCAATCTAGTTCTCCCCTACCCGCTTCCCCAGGCAGTCTCTAATCTATCTCTATAGATCTGATGATTTTGGATATTTCACACAAATGGAATCATATATCATATGGACATTTTTGTCTAGTTTATTTCACTTAGCAGAATGTTTTCAAAATCCAGCTATATTATAGCACATAGCAACATTCCCTACCTTTTTATTGCTTAATAATATTCCATTGAATGGCTATGATATTTTATTATTGATTCATTAACAGAGAGATAGTTTGGCTGTTTTCACTTACTGGCTATTATGAATAATGCTATTATAAACATTTATGTACAAGTTATTTTGTAAAAATATGTTTTCAGTTCTCTTGGGTATATATTTAGGGGTGGAATTTCTGGGCCATATGATAATTCTAGATTAACTGTTTGAGAAGCTGCCAAATTATCTTCCACAGTAAGTACATCATTTTACATTCCCACCAGCAAAGCATAAGGGTTACAATTTCTCTACATACTTTTCAACACTTATTATCTCCAATTAAAAAAACAAATTATGGCCTTTATAGACAGTGAGGGTGATGCTATCTTACTGTGGTTCTGATTTGCATTTCCCTAATGACTAATGATGTTGAATACTTTTTTTTTTAATGTGGCTACTGGCTATTTGTAGAACTTTGCAGAAATAACTATTCAAATCTTTTGTCCACTTTTTAATTGGGCTGTTTGTCTATTTTCTGTTGCACTCTCACTGTTCTTTTTACATTCTGGACATTAATTCTCTATCAGCTATATGATTTGAGAACATTTTCTCCCATTCCAAGGATTGCCCTTTTCATTCTGCTGTTTTAATTAATTTATCTCAATAAATTAAAAAAAATTAATTTATCTCAATAATGTAGCCCTTTCTATGTAGAAGTTTTATACCTTTCAATAGATTGATTTTTTTAAGTTTTTATTTAAATTCCAGTTAGTTAACATACAGTGTAATATTAGTTTCAGGCGTACAATATGGTGATTCAACACTTCCATCCATCACTTGGTGCTCATCACAAACATGTGCACTCCTTAATCCCCATCTCCAGTTGTCCCTGTTATCCCACTCCTCTTCCCCTCCTGTAACCATTAGTTTCTTCTCTATATTAAGAGTCTGTTTCTTGATTTGCCTCTCTCCCCTCTCCTCGTTGCTTGTTTTGTTTCTTTAAATTCCACATATGAGTGAAATCATATAGTATTTGTCTTTCTCTGACTGATTAATTTGCTTAGTATAATACTCTATAGCTCCACCCATATTATTGTTTTTTTAAATTTTTTTCATTTATTTATTATTTATGATAGTCACACACACACACACAGAGAAAGAGGCAGAGACATAGGCAGAGGGAGAAGCAGGCTCCATGCACCGGGAGCCCGACGTGGGATTTGATCCCGGGTCTCCAGGATCGCGCCCTGGGCCAAAGGCAGGCGCCAAACCGCTGCGCCACCCAGGGATCCCAAGATTTCATTCCTTTT